GCTGTAACACCATTAACACACATTGCCATTTTTGTTTCAAAGCTTTGCAGGTTGAGTTCTGTAGCACGATTCAGGATACTTCAAAACCAGCTAAGCATTGGAAAAGCTTCATTGGACCTCAGGCAAGCTCAAAAGAACCTCAAGCACCCTTGGAAGTTGCTGCATTGTCCAGCTCGAAGTCAACTAAAACAGGTATTTCATGAACTTCTATCTCTCTATTTAGGAATAGTTAGACTTAGGTTTGTGAATGAAAGATGTTGTATTCATAGCCCTGAAACCATACATGTGTTTAGTTTTCATTTATATTAATCGTGCTAGGAGAATTTCATCCGTGAACTTTCTGAAAAAACTAGGTTAAGAATTAGGGCCAGAGAAATTCTCTCTGGTCTTTGAGAGTTAGATTAAGTTTTTTATATGGTTGGATTCGTTGTTTGATGCTCTACAAGTTTCATGTTATGAGTTTTGTCAAAAAATCAAGGAATCAGGAGATAGCAGTTTGTACATAGAACGCGCGTTTTGGTGTTTGAACAGAAGAAGATGAAGTCCTTGGGCTGGGCCTGGTCATTTTTGCTTCTAACACCCCATTTTTCAGTTTACACCTCCCTGACCAATTTATTTGTATATTTGTCATTTTGATATTTTTATTTTTTATTCTGACTTTATTATTTTATGTCCAAATATAAAAAATGCCAAAAAATTATTTTTATATTTTTTCATATTTATTTGATATTTATTTTCATTTTACTAGTATAAATATGTAAATAATTTATATTCTTTTTATTAAAACTTAAAGAATAATGTAAAAAAAATATTTTTATATTTATTTATTATTTTTATACACACTTAAAAACATTTTCTTGAAATATACACATTTTTTTGTAAATAATTAATTTTTTTTATACATTTAATATGTCTAATATATATTTATATACATATATACTATTTTGTTAAATAATTAGAACAAAAAATACAAAAATAATACATTTTTATTTTTATTAACATTTTATACTAAAAATACTTTTTTTAATATATACTTTTATTTTTGTACAAATTAATACATTATTGTATATAAATAATAAATAATACAATTTATTTAAGAAATTAGGGTTTTTGCCCTAAAAAAACAAATAATTAAAATTGACTTTTTTATTATTATTCATACTTCACATTTAAAAATATTTTTTACATACATAAAAATCTTTTTTGCATAATACATTTTATTTGATATTTATTTAATTGTATTTGTTTAAATATTGTATTATACCTTGCCCATTCAATTTGATTGTAATAATTTAGAACTTAATTTCTTGTCAAATAATCCCCAATTCAAATTTGTACCCCCCTCCCTATATCATGTTGTAATAGTGTAGAATTTAAATTCTCGCACTTTTATGCTTTCAATTGTGCCATGGTTAGACCTAGGGTTTGTATGCAAAATCAAATTAACGAATAACTTGACCTAATCCAAGATAACAATGCATGAAAATAAACACAATGCACGCTTGCACCCCTAGGGTTACAATCCACTTGTTGCCTTCAAAAATGGGCCATGGTATGCATGTCAAGTACTTTGGCAAAACAAAAATAAAACAAAAGATCATAGTCCCTCGATGACGCTGTCCGAGTTGCCTAAACAAAATGATCAAGTCCCTCAAGAAAATTGCCAAAAATACTTGACACTATTGCTATCATGGTCTATACGATGACCCGCGCCTGTCCCGTTTAAACATCCTAACACAAGGTTTTTCACCAAATACAATGGTGAAACAACACTGTTAAAAGGGTTAAAAATATAAGAAAGATATTTGAGTAAAATAGAATAGACAAACTCTTAGTTACTTGATCAAGCTTGCAAAAAACATCCTTGCTATTTTTCAAAACACACCTCACAACACAATTTCAAAACCCTACTCTCAAACATTGAAAACTTTTCAAAAGACAAAAACACCTTTGTATACATTCAAACAAGAATCATTACAAAGGTTGCCACAACGATGGCCTCTTTTCAAAACATCTTTCAAAATCACACACAAAGCACCATTTCAAACCATTGAAGAGCACCATTTCAAACAATTGAAAAGCAAAGCAAGTGATCTAAGCAAGTAACTAAGAGCCCATGGATAACCATGGATAGAAAGGGTGCTAATACCTTCCCTTTCTATAATCTACTCCCCGAACCCAAGAAAACATCTTAAAGGTCTTTCCTGTGCTTTTTGGCCTTTCCTTAGGATAAAATAAAAAGTCGGTGGCGACTCTTGCTAAACTGAAACATTTGCGAACACAAACGCAAAATCCCAAGTCAGTTCTCCCACCGTATCACAAATACCAATGCCAAAAATTTGTTCTGAGAGAAAGTGTGAGTGTTTATTTATTTTTGTGATATCTACTGGGTGAAACAACCGGCTGAACAATCAACTGATAATGAAATCAATAAAGTCGCCATCGAATGTTTTTTATCCCATAAGAGAGGAAAGTTAAACATCGAGTAAACCTGAGAAAGGTGAAATCACGATCAAACGACTGAGAGATCAAGTAAGGGAGTCTGTTACGCGAGGGGAAGGTATTAGCATCCCACACGTCCATAGTACTCTACAGTATCCACTCTTATTATTCTAATCTTATGGGTGTGTTAGGATCTATATCTAGGCTTAAGGGCTAAAAGAAAAATTAAAAGAGGGAATGTATGCAAAAGAAAAAAGAAAATAATGTAGGGAAAAATAAAGTTGTGCTTGCTCGGGCCCTACCTCAATGCCTACGTATCCCTTTAAAGGAATCAGAGCAGCCGTAGTTTGGCTCAAAATTGTTTGTTGGTTTGTATTTTTTAATGAACAATATTAATTTCGCCTTTTGTCGCAACTTGACCTTTGGAGACTTACGCGTCAGCACATAAGTGAATTAACATGTTCTTTCTGAAAAGTTTGAAAGAAAAGCTCGAAGGCATAAAAAAGTTTATATTGATTGGTATTTTTTACCTTTAAGAAGGATTTGAAAGTTGTTATATGTTTTATGCTTTTTCAAGAAAAGAGATTTAGTTTTAATGCATGGATGCAAAAGAAATAAAAATCATCTAAGGGAGACTAACCCAGATCTATCCCTAATGTTATCATAGAATGATTGATCCTAAAGTTGAGTTTTAAAGGGAAATATCTACCCTAAGTTGACGTGCATGGATAACAATCCTAATGTCTATCTCAACTCATCATATATAGATGAATCAAGAAGTCCTAAAGGAGCATAGCAAGGGTCTATCACCTAAAACTATGTCTATCTCGAATCATCATCTATAGTTGAATCGAGAGCTCCTAAGGGAACATGTCGAGGGTATATCATCTCGAAACATGCACACAAAGATGAAATCAAACAAACAAGCCAATAAGCTCAAGAGAGCACACCTAGAGAGATCATATCTAGGTTAGCATGCCAAAGAAAGTCTAACAAAACTATCTTATGGGGAACATGCAATGAGAGCGAAGCCGTGATATCAATTTCTAAATTGAGTGACTCATCGATCAACAAGAAATAAAGGAAAGTGATAAAATCCTATAGGGAGCATGCACTGAGAGCGAAGTCGTGATCTCAATTTCTAAATTGAGTGACTCATCGATCAACAACCAAGGAAACAAACACAAGCACAACACATATAGCAAATGAAGTACAAAATGCCTGCTACAGGTCTTTAAACAGCGACTTCGAGCACACACTCTTTATTTCCTACTTCTCATGATATCTAGAAAGCAGTAAAGTGAAAAATGAGATAAACAAGAGAAAATACCAAACGGATATAAATCCGTAGCAAAGCGCATCAAAACAAAGAAACCCGACGATCTTCGCGAAAGCTTCACCGATCAAAGAAAAGAGTCAGAAGTCAAATGCACGGAACAAACGTCGAAGCATCACCGATGTGAAAATAAATCACAAGTCGAAGGTGCGCCAAGCATATCCGAATATCACACAATAAACCTATATAAGATTCAAATCTTAATAAGCAAAGGTGAATTGCTAATCTCAAATATAATTGGATAATCAGAATTTAATTTCCCAAAAACTAAAAAAAATCTACAAGTTTTCATATTTGATTTTATTATTCCTTATCATGTAAAAAACTCAAATAAAACAATTATAAAAAATATCTAAACAAAAATGCAAATAATATAAAAAAAGGATGCAATATGTACACAATGCTGCTACATAACAATTCAAATTCTGGTGCTGAGCCCAATCCATGAAGACTTTTTTTTGTTACAAGCAATAAGGCTTCAAAAACCTGTGTCTATAGGTTTTAGGAGTGTGTAAGTAGAAAAGAGGCGCTAGGCCCAAATACTGAGTCCGAAATATTGTGCTTTTTGTTCACGAGCTCTTAGGCCATCCAAATAAGTGATATTGGGCTTCAAACAAAGCAATCAGATGTCAACTCAGCATCAGGCCCATGAATTCCATCCCAACTATCATCACCATCAAATTTTTAGTAACATTTTCTAATAAAAAATAATAATAAAAGAATTGAAAGTTGAAAATAGGAGAATGAGAACGGTGTCATATGAACGTTGATAAGGTTTTCACTTTGTGACCCTTCAATTTGTTTCAAAACAAACTCCATTCCTACAACCTTCACCGCCGCTTCCCTCTCTTGCACCGTTCACGGATGTCCTCTCATCTTCTCTGATCAATTATCCGCCTTCGTGGATAGCACATTGACGTTGCTGGGAATACCTCCGCCAAACCTCCTTCATTCATCCCTCTTCTTCGTCCGATTCGACCTTCCTCAACTCCCAATTCGCTTGCGATTTCGTCTAAACACCTTCACTTGCCTCCAATTTCGTTTCGGTTTCAATTCGTGCTTCTCATCCTCAGTGTTTCATCCACTGCTTCTATTATCGCTCATAATTGTTAAGTTCTCGCTCGTCTTCAGATTCGCAAGGTTTCACTATGGCGTTAGGAAAGGCGAATGGAGATAGTGAAGTAAAGAGAAGATAGAAGCACCTACCTACCGGAGAACTCCAATGGCTCTTCAACGGCTCAAGTATGATATTTTTTCCTTGCTTCGAATAGTATTTTCTCGCTCGTCATTTTTCTACTTCTTCTTTCGGATTTTTGTGTGCCTCTGAGCGGTTATTCATGTCGTATTTGTGAGGGTGATAGAGGGAGATACGGATTCAGTGATTCTCCAATGATTGAAGGGCTGAAGCCACTGAAGATGAAAGTTGAAACATTGAGAGAATCAGAGAGAATGAAGATAGAACATACTGGTTGGAGAATATGCAGAAGCTGATAAAGGATCTTGTTGAAGAATCTTGCAGATTTAAGGTGGATGATGAATGTTGCTACAGAAGATGGTGAGAATTTGATGAAGATTGATGATTGCTGCTGCTTGAAGCAGGGGTTTCAGAGAGATGAAGATTGCAGCGTTGATGTGAAGATGATGAGAAGTTTCTCTGAGATGCGAAATTGAAATACAGAGAGCTTGTTACGTTGTAGTGGTGGCTGTGTTGATGAAGATGACGGAAAGTGAAAGAGTGAGAGAGAGAGAGAGAGAGAGAACGTGAGCTTCGTTGCCACTGCCATGAAAAAAAACGTTCTTGTTACATGAAAGCCAGAGAGAGAGAGCTGGTTACGGTATGAGGTTGTTATCGCGGAAAAGAGATAGAAAGCGAAATTCTTATCAAAAGAAACAGAGAGAGAGAGAGAAAATATAGTTGTTACGCATGGAGAGAGAGAATGAATTGATTATGTATGGCCAAAGAGAGTGAATAAAACTCGGTTGTATTCCTGCTCATGTATGCAACCCCAATTACTGCATGGACATGTCAGATGCTGATGAACATATTATTTGTATTAGATTTTCTGTTTACACCCATTCATACTCACAGTACTTGGAAGTTATGTTATTTTCTCTTTGTTGTATTGTAATATGAAGAGAAATAGCTACCGAGACGAGGCTAGAGGAAAGACACGCAGATACTGAGTTTTGGATTTATTATTCTTAATGGTTAATTTATATCCACATATTTTTCTACCTCTAAGATTTTATATTATGTTAAGTGTGAACAAAATATGAGATGAATAATATATTTGAATAAAAGTATTACTCCCTACATGATATAATACAGTAGCTTTCTTTTCTCAAAAATTCTGTTTAACACGCATGGCCATGCAACCTCCTTTGAGTTCGTATATCTCGAACTATAACACTCCTCGCGAGACAATCTTAGCATCACTGAAAATAGGACACATCATGGAGCATTTTTTATGTTGGTCTCACGTCAAAATAGCACTTCTAGCATGCCTTAAAATGACCCTAATGTCATGAAATCATAACTAAAATAAATACCGGTAAATTCTGTTATTACCGGCGATTATCCGTCAATGCTCTAACCTCCACTTTATGGATCAATAACTTGAAATATAGCATTCTTCAGGATGAGATCTCAACATTAAAGTTGAAGAGTGAATTTCTCTAAACAACTTTCCTGTTAGAAGTTTCTTGAAATAACGCTTGAAACACACTCAAAAAGGATCGCGAAGTCGTGATATCAAAACTAACCGCAGTGGCTGAAAACTCATCGTGCAGAAATCAAATCCATTATCATGATTTAAAAACCTCACAACTTTCCCAATAATGATCCAAATGCCGCAAACTTGATACTGTTGGAAAAAGGGAAAATGATAGAACAAGTTTATAGTTTGCCTCCAATCTGAATACGGCCTTAATCATAGAGAAAAATGTCATGAATATACACCTTGCAACTGCTCGAAAAAATGACAGGCCTGGCAGAGCAGGTTCTACGCGTGACACCATGCATCTTGTCCGCTTCAACCTTCCTACTTTGCGCTTCGATATCTCTCTCCATGATGCATAAAACGAATCGAAGTTTAAACCCAAAACGAAGAGTACGCAACCCACTCCAACTTTCATGTTTGACATTTTTGAAATGAGTATTAAATTCATGGGAAAAACCACTATGAACATGTGCATGCCACCTATTCGACAAAATGCTGGCCTGACTAAGCAAGTTTTGGCAGCATTTTGCCTTTCAAGCCCTCGAAACGTAAACGTCATAACTTTCTCTACAACCACCAAACGGGATAATTCTTGAATCAAAATTGGAGAGGAGATTCTGATCTTTAACTTTTATGTTCGGAGATTTTTCGTTGGAGTTTAAACGGGACCCTAAAAATAGCCATGAAGTTTGTCACATTTTGGAAAATCCTTTGAAAATTATTAAGTGCCCACATTACTTAAAATGCAAGAAACTTCAAATTCTGCCGATTCTTTCGATTTTTCTCAATAGCTTAACAAATTTTCTCATATTTCGACTTTTGTCAATGATCTTGACCAAAAATCTCATTTAGTCAACCTTTGACTTTTGTTGACTTTTATTCATACACACTTAAATCTCTTCTTATTCAATCGACCCCGATTCTTCTGATAAAAATATGGAGATCAGTAGACCATATGCAGATACTTTTAATGCAGATAGAAAACCATTAGACCATCTTAAGCTTTGAAAAATCAGTTAAATCATGCCATTGATCAAGAACACTGATTGCATTACAAAGATATGAGATGTTGACCATAACTCCAAACACTAATTCAACTAGAATATCTTGAAGAACTCTTGTATTCATATACCTCGTGACTTGAGATAATATTTAGGATGAAAAAACTTCAGACACGTGACCTTTGAAGATAGATATTCTTCTCTTGGGAAACATTCACTTATCCAGCCAAACCCTTGATCATATGTCATCGAGTTAACGCGATACAAATGATGAATATGATGGTGAAGCATAAGCCATTTTGCTTACAAGTAAGAGGGGAAATTTTGGGGTACAACAGCTGCCCCTATTTAGTCGCCTTCACCCTGAAGGTGAGATTGGCGCTAGCCTTTCAAACATTCAAGGTGGAAGAAGATTAAATACTTAAAAGAACCCGAAAATTTGCGCTCTGAAATCAGTCAGGTATTATTATATTTTTGGTTTTCTGTATTTTTATTTTTTGCTTTTTCGGATTACAGCAGTTATCTGGGTAAATATCTTGGATGTCGAGTCAAGATTAGACATACACAAGATATAGACCGAACAAAGAAGGCTCTTACGAAGTCGAAGGCGAACTTACCGGGGATACAACTATACATTGACTCTGAATTGAACATCGATCGAAGGATAACTTTACCAACAAAAAGGAGTACCAGGAGAAGGTAAACCTAAGACGGAAAGACACCGGGTAAAGGTGAACATATCGAAGAAAAGAGAACGTCAGGCGAAGACAGACCTTAACCAAAAAGAAGGGACACCGGGTGAAGGTGGACCTAAAATGGCAAGACATCGGGCGAAGGTGAACTTACCGGAAAAAAGAGAACATTGGGCGAAGATAAACCTTAACCGACAAAAAGGGACACCGGGAGAAGGTGGACCTAAGATGGAAAGACACCGGGAGAAGTTGAATTCCGAAGGAAAGAGAACGTCAGGCAAAGACGAAACTTAACCAACAAAAAGAGACATCGGGCGAAGGTTGACCTAAGATGGAAAGACACCGGGCGAAGGTGAATTCCAGACGAAAGAGAATGTCGGGCGAAGATGAACCTTAACCGATAAAAAGGGACACCGAGCGAAGATGGACCTAAGATGGAAAGACACCGGGCGAAGGTGAATTCTGGAGGAAAGAGAACGTCGGGCGAAGACGAACCTTAACCAACAAAAAGGGACACCGGGGGAAGGTGGACCTAAGATGGAAAGACACCGGGAGAAGGTGAATTCCGGAGGAAAGAGAACGTCGAGCAAAGACGAACCTTAACCAACAAAAAGGGACACCGAGCGAAGGTGGACCTAAGATGGAAAGACACTGGGCGAAGGTGAATTCTGGAGGAAAGAGAACGTCGGGCGAAGACGAACCTTAACCAATAAAAAGGGACACCGGGCAAAGGTGGACCTAAGATGGAAAGACACCGGGCGAAGGTGAATTCCGGAGGCAAGAGAACGTCGGGCGAAGGTGAATTTCGGAGGAAAGAGAACGTCGGGCGAAGACAAACCTTAACCAACAAAAAGGGACACCAAGCGAAGGTGAACCTAAGATGGAAAGACACCGGGTGAAGGTGAATTCCGAAGGAAAGATAACGTCGCGTGAAGACGAACCTTAACCAATAAAAAAGGACACCGGGTGAAGGTGAACCTAAGATGGAAAGACACCGGACGAAGGTGAACTTACCGAAGCAAAGAGAACGTCGGGCAAAGACAAACCTTAACCAACAAAAAGGGACACCGGGCGAAGGTGAACCTAAGATCGAAAGACACTAGGGGAAGGTGAATTCCATAGAAAAGGGAATGTCGGGCGAAGACGAACCTTAAAAGGAAGAAAGACAAACGGAAAGGGACTCTAAACAAGGATTGATAACATGCGTTGGGCTTTAAGAGTTTGCAAATATGCAAGAACTACAAAATCCCTCAGGCCAAATGTGGGGTGTAATTCTTCAAGAGTGGAAATTATATGAATTACCACAGACCAAGTATGGATACTCAAACACTTGAGAAGCAAGAAAGGCTATACACCAACTCTTACTCACACTCTAACGACAAAGCAAACACGGGTAAAATAACCAAAGGCTTGCAAGGGCAAGCGTAAACCATAAACTTACTGGGGATTCCATATGTATTGAACTCAAACAGAACGTCGGTCGAAGGCGGACTTGTGATTAGAAAAATAGACCAACTGTAGGAAATCTAAACAAAGATTGCCAACACGCGTTGGGCTTTAAGAGTTTGCAAATATGAAAGAACTACAAAATCCCTCAGGCCAAAGGTGGGGTGTAATTCTTCAAGAGTGGCAATTATCTGAATTACCACACACCAAGTATGGATACTCAAACACTTGAGAAGCAAGAAAGGCTATACACCGACTCTTACTCACAATCCGACGACAGAGCAAACACGGGTAAAATAACCAAAAGCTTGAAAGGGCAAGAGAAAACCATGACTTATTGTGGAAATGGAATATACCAAAGACCCGACTGGTTGTAAATCAAACAGTCTCTGTTGGGGAAACAAAAAGTAATCACCCTAGGCTTGTTGTGGAGATAATTCAAATCTGAGCACATAACAATTTGGTTACCACAGGTGAACATAATTGGCTTATAGTTATGCATGTTTGAATTTTTTTTAGCATAATGCTCCATACAATGGAAACGCTACGTGTTTTGGTAGATGCAATATAATGATGCATGTTTAGAAATGTACCGGGGAAATCACATCAATAACCGGCTGTTGAGAAAACAATGAACTTCTGAATGATTATTCTTGCACATCTGATCTTATGTAGAGAAAAGGAAATCTTGACTTCAATGGGGCATCGAGACTCAGAACCACCAACCTCTAAAGATTGATATCAATGAGGAAGTGACTTCCTGGAGAGGACACTGCAAAAATAAATTGTAGTTCAGTGAAAATCTTAAATTC